TTGATCATCATCCTGTAAAAGGTGACCCAACTTTTAACAGAGAACGCTGCTCATCTTCAACACGGCATCGGTTTGCTTCTCTCAGCTTGGACTGCCCTTCAGATGGCCTTTGAGAACTATTGTGGTGGCCCTGACTCTCTCTCCTCAAAAATCCCAACAACTCGCCGCCGATATTTTCTCTTGCCTCAACCAATCCAAGGTTATTTTTTTGATTGTTTCAGCTAAAATGTTTGATGGGTTTTCCTTTTCTTTTTCTTTTTAATTCAATGCGTTACAAGTACCCCTCAAAAGCTAGTCATAGTAATTCAATTAACTCTTGGCTTTGTCTCATTGGCATTTTTGGGTATCAGTTTTCATTATTTTTGCAATGTTGGTTGGTGGTAATCATTCTTAAGAACAAAATTGAGGTATTGTTGAGAGGATTGACAACCCATAGAGCACATGATTGATTGGTGTTGCATGTACAAGGGGCAGGAGAGTTGGTGAATTATCTCCTTATCCAGGTTGCTAGGGAAATCTGAATGTTGCTTTTATTTGGCTATGTTTGGAGTTGTTGGGCTTTTCATGCAGCTCCTGACAATGAGTGGTGTCATCACTCAATTTTAAAATTTTCTTAAAACAAAGGTAAAAATTTATCAAATTATTTGAGATTTTACAAATTGAACCCAGTGAAATTAGAGAAACAAAATAATTGTTATTCTTATTCTATTGCATTATCAATATACTCTAAAATTTGTTATTATTTTATAAAATTACACAATGCACATTAGAATACAAATTTTGATTTTTTTTTTATTATTTATTTTAAATGTGTGGTGAAAATAACAAGTACAGTTGTCATTGATTCCACCAGTAACAACTACAACTGTGAAAGGATCTTTAGTTGTGATGCAATTTAAATCAAATATGTAACCAAATGAGTGATGGGTTTTTTTTTTTTTTTTGATTCAGAGTGATGGTTGAATGAATGATTATTTGACTATATAGATTGAAAAAATGTGTTTGATAGCATAGGTAATAAGGTTATCATATAATGATTTCAAAAAATAAAACTCATTGTGAAGTATAAGTGTAGATCTTTACTGAATTTTTGTTGAAGCAATAGTATTAATGTCCCAACTTGTAGTTTAATATGTAATTTGACAAATTTAAATTACTTTTGTTGATGTGATTAAAAATATATAAAATTACAATGGATTATATGAAAATTGATTTTGATATAGATTGTGTAGAACTTGAATTCGACATAATGATATTGATGATACTTGTTAAATATGACCCTGGTGAACTAAGATTCTGGCTACGCCACGGGTTGCAGGTCAAGTGGTCTTAAGTATGTTAGTGTAATTGTTCCTGTTTCCTCCTTCATTATTTTTGTTTATTGGTCATAAAAATAATAATACGAGAAATGTAGTTCAAATGGGTCAAAGATCAAAATTTCTGTCATCCAGAAGTTTTACAGTATTGAACTCAATGTACTCCATGTATGTATTGGCTTAACCTTTTATAGATGATAATGATATAATTGCTGAAGAAGAGGTTAAGCTGTGTATACATTAATGAACAGAGGCAAATTATATTTTCCACATTCATTCTATTATGATGATAACAAGTAGTAATGGCCTCACATATTTGTTAGCCAATTGATTTCAACTCTCCCCCCCCAAACATATTTCTTGCTCATTTATATCTTTCATTCCCAATTTGTATCCTTTGCAAATTATATGCATTTGTTTTCAGTGTTCTGACCTTTGCTAATTGGTTGTTTGGCAGAGTTCTTTCTAAACAACTTTATGCAGATAGCAGAGAAATGAATGATTATGCATGAAGAGTGTTTTGGAAGGTAACTATAAATCAATTCAAATACTAAAGGAAACGAATCCTCTGAGAGGTGCTGTTCCTCATATCTGACAGGTAATTATAGTGTTTCCTTGACTGAAAATGTTTTATACCCGATAAATGAGTATAATTCACTATTTCTGCTGAGCTGTTTTTCATGTTTGTTCTGTTTATGGGGTATTTGGATAAGGGAATGATGAAATATTTCCAAATGAAATAAACATAGTGGAACAATTATTATAGATTGGCATCATTTGATAGTACCTTTTAGTAGCTAAGAAGCATGGGCATGCGCATGGACACTACACGGACATGCTAATATGGAAATTTTCAAAAAATGTAGACACGGCATGTGAGGGACACATACAAACTATATATATTAGATATATTTTTTGTATGTCATATATAAGGATAATAAATAATGAATGAATAAAGGAAAAGAAGGTAGGATAAAAGATTTCAGTCAAATGTCATTATGTACCCTATCATACTCAAAAACGTTTTGCACTACAATATATAGCAACATATATTATTTAGTACTTGCTTGCATGAAGAAATTCAACAAGACCACAAACCCATAAAAAAAATATCAGAAAATTACCCGAACAATTACATTTATGGATATCACAATCATTCTAGGTGTGACCCACATTCCACCCACTTTAAATCTACGCCATACAACTTGTTTCGGGGAAACTTTTCATGGTTCCTAGCATTTCTAGTAGAAATTAGTTATGTTTCATGTAATAACATGAATCATGTTAAATGCAAAAAGTTGGTAAAAACTTTTTGCTAAGCTTGGTGGTGAAAAGACTCTTCTGCAGTATGAGAGAATCATTTCTCTGTAATACCTTATTTTAAGGAAGAAACACCATCTTAAGAATTTGTAGTAGCTACAAGCCTAGATTTATGTCATCTTCTTATAATATTATTACCAATCACCATGATGAAAATTCTAGTTGAAATTTGCTCAACATGCTTGTTGGATGGAAGATATCACTATTGTTGTATATTATACTTCGTTTGTGCTTTTATATTTTTTCGTTTGCTTCCTCATTATGCACCATGCTGTCAGTGATGGGCAACGATGATGATAGCATAGGGGACAATGATTCAGAAGTCGGCGCTTTAGAGTACCAATTGAATGTAGAAGATGGAAGGACAGTAGTTGCCTCTAGGCAGAGCAGAGGTAGAAGGAACTAGGTTGAACCCTCAAGATTTATGATCCCTGTTTATTTTTACCTTTTAATTTCCTCTTTTTTATCCTATACTTTTTGCCCCTTTATTTGTGTCAATATGTCATTTTTATAGAGTTATTAGTGTGGCAAATTTTGTTCCTTGCTTTTGATGCCATGCCAAGGAAGTTGTGCTTGTGGTGTAACTGGAGAGTGGAGACTGGTTTCCTCTCATATATAGGTGCTAAAGCATCATACATGAAAAAGTTTGCTTTCTATATATATGCTTTCTACTCAATGTCCATTCATCGTATTTGGCTTGAATATATATATGTGTGTGTGTATAGTTGAGAGTGTTGGAGCAGTTAATGTCTAGAGTCCTTGGAGTTCCTCAGTTGACCCCTTAAGGCTGTGTTTAGATCTTAAATTTGTGGAGAACAAAGAAACAGAGGGGAAATTGAATGAAATAGAAACCGCCACGGGTTGCAGGTCAAGTGGTCTTAAGTATGTTAGTGTAATTGTTCCTGTTTCCTCCTTCATTATTTTTGTTAATTGGTCATAAAAATAATAATACAAGAAATTGTAGTTCAAAAGGGTCAAAGATCAAAATTTCTGTCATCCAGAAGTTTTACAGTATTGAACTCAATGTACTCCATGTATGTATTGGCTTAACCTTTTATAGATGATAATGATATAATTGCTGAAGAAGAGGTTAAGCTGTGTATACATTAATGAACAGAGGCAAATTATATTTTCCACATTCATTCTATTATGATGATAACAAGTAGTAATGGCTTCACGTATTTGTTTAGCCAATCGATTTCAACCCTCCCCCCCAAACATATTTCTTGCTCATTTATATCTTTCATTCCCAATTTGTATCCTTTGCAAATTATATGCATTTGTTTTCAGTGTTCTGACCTTTGCTAATTGGTTGTTTGGCAGAGTTCTTTCTAAACAACTTTATGCAGATAGCAGAGAAATGAATGATTATGCATGAAGAGTGTTTTGGAAGGTAACTATAAATCAATTCAAATACTAAAGGAAACGAATCCTCTGAGAGGTGCTGTTCCTCATATCTGACAGGTAATTATAGTGTTTCCTTGACTGAAAATGTTTTATACCCGATAAATGAGTATAATTCACTATTTCTGCTGAGCTGTTTTTCATGTTTGTTCTGTTTATGGGGTATTTGGATAAGGGAATGATGAAATATTTCCAAATGAAATAAACATAAGGGAACAATTATCATAGATTGGCATCATTTGATAGTACCTTTTAGTAGCTAAGAAGCATGGGCATGGGCATGGACACTACACGGACATGCTAATATGGAAATTTTCAAAAAATGTAGACACGGCATGTGAGGGACACATACAAACTATATATATTAGATATATTTTTTGTATGTCATATATAAGGATAATAAATAATGAATGAATAAAGGAAAAGAAGGTAGGATAAAAGGTTTCATTCAAATGTCATTATGTACTCTATCATACTCAAAAACGTTTTGCACTACAATATATAGCAACATATATTATTTAGTACTTGCTTGCATGAAGAAATTCAACAAGACCACAAAACCATAAAAAAAATATCAGAAAATTACCCGAACAATTACATTTATGGATATCACAATCATTCTAGGTGTGACCCACATTCCACCCACTTTAAATCTACGCCATACAACTTGTTTCGGGGAAACTTTTCATGGTTCCTAGCATTTCTAGTAGAAATTAGTTATGTTTCATGTAATAACATGAATCATGTTAAATGCAAAAAGTTGGTAAAAACTTTTTGCTAAGCTTGGTGGTGAAAAGACTCTTTTGCAGTATGAGAGAATTATTTCTCTGTAATACCTTATTTTAAGGAAGAAACACCAATTTAAGAATTTGTAGTGGCTACAAGCCTAGATTTATGTCATCTTCTTATAATATTATTACCAATCACCATGATGAAAATTCTAGTTGAAATTTGCTCAACATGCTTGTTGGATGGAAGATATCACTATTGTTGTATATTATACAGAAAAAGTATGTGGGTTTTGTTCAAATTGATGAAAACACAATTGACAAAATCAGTAGTGCACAACCTAACGCCAAGCTAGTGCTCCAAGCCTATTCTTATTTCCAGACCTTAAAACCTCATATTTCCAATTATGAGTGTGCTAGGTCCAAAGTGAACAAATTGACAAAAGAATTTCGTGAATTGATGAATAGAGATGATGCTGCTCACAATACTTTCAAGTTGATTGAGATTGAGTTGGGGTTGATGTATGACATGCTCTTCAGTAAGGTAGGCACAATTTTTACAGTATGTGGAAGCATTCTCAGACTCATTTCCATCTCTTGCATCGTCACTGTGTTGGTGGGCTTTTTATTAGTTAAAAAGCCTGATGGGCATTTAAAAGGTGATCTTCCGATAACCATAATTTTGCTAGTTGGAGCCATTTGTTTAGAAATAGGTGGAGCTCTTGTGCAACTTGGTTCAGATTGGGCAATTGTTTGGGCATGTACGCATTACCCGAGTAAGTTGGTCACTCCAGTTTTTAATCTTCACGAATTTGTGATCTCTAAAAACAAAAGATGGTCTGAGGTTATGGGACAATTTAGCTTGCGAAACTTTTGCAACAAATATGAACGGACAAAGTTCGATGACATGGTGGTGGGTCTATGTGGCATCGAAAAAAGATGGAAGAAATTATAGCGATCCTGGATTTACCCTTGTTGTACAGTGATCCGGACATGTGTCCGTGGATGTTGGTAGTTGATTATATTATTTTGTTTACATCCTTTTTACTTCGTATTTGAGTTGTAGGATGTGTTGGGCAGGTTTGTTACTGGATGGTTGAGTTTAGAAACCAAAACTAGCTGCCCAGATTTTGACCTGTCCGCTCGAGCGGGGGTTCTGGCGCTCGAGCAGGAATTGCACCCATCCAGTATGTCCTGTGCAGTGTTGGACGCTCGAGCGTGGGATTGGCCGCTCGAGCGGGGGTGTCTGAGTGCCGCTCGAGCGTAGAGTTGGAAGCTCGAGCGGAGGCCTGGTTCTGTATAAATGCTGGGAGAGTGCATCCGGCGCTCGAGCGGAAGTTTGGACGCTCGAGCGGGAGTCTGTGAGTGACGCTCGAGCGGGGTGTTTTACGCTCGAGCGGGAGACTGGGTTTAAGTCCCGAAATTGTGACTTTTCAAATCACTTTTTACTTTCTCTTCTCTCTCTTACTTTTCCAAAATCACCATTGTTGAGCCTCTCACTCTAGAACTCTACAGATTGAGAGGTGTGTAGTCACTGCCCTAAAGCTATTGTTCCTCCCCACGTGAAGGTACAACCGGAGTGCAACGGCTCCAAGATACAGCCCAAGAGCTCACAGCCTTCATCATCCAATGTTCACGTCCACCAAGAGGATATGAATGAGTCACGGACCATAGTTGCCCAAAAATATCAATATAAAATATATAACAATATAGACAACTCTCTCTAGAAACACTTATATTTGAAATCACTTTTTCTTTTCTGTGATCATCTCTTCTTTCCTCCATTTCTCTACAAAACCCTCACCTTTTTTTTTTTCCACTCAACACAACTCACCTAGGTATACACACACACACACACATATATGAAAGAATTAAACCTTTATTAATATATGTATTAAACATGACATAAGTACTATAATAATATCTAATAAAACTCAAGTAATCGAAATGTTTAAAACTAATATAAATGTTAATAACGGTCAAATAAATTAAATAGAATAACTGCTTTGGGCTATCGGTGGAGGATAGTCGTGATTGTTGTAGACAATGCATGATGATTAGGCAAACTGAAACTAATCAATGGAATGTGTCATGAAAATTGACGGTTATTAGAATACATTAACTGTATGTATTGAGTGATTGTATATAGAACCAATGTGTTTGTATACGTTATGTGTAGAGGAGGAGATGGGGGATGTACTCCGCGGTTTAGGGGAAGATGGGGGATGTACCTCTAAACCGGATAGTATTGGGAGAAAATAGGGGATGAACTCCATAGATACAGCTCATATGCTTGTCTAGAGAAGTGAAGATAGAGCTAATATGCTTATCTTTGTGAGGTGTGGATACAGCTTATATGCTTATCTGTGAATGTGGGATATTGTTGTTATACATATCTGTTGGGAGTGTGGATATAGCTTAAATGCTTATCTGTGAATGTGGGATATAGTTTTTATACATATCTGTTGAGGTGATGATAGAGCTAATATGCTCATTTGTTGAAAAAGGGAAAATGAAAAGTAACTTAGACTCATAAGTCGGATGACATAAAAATGTGATTTATGTGGATATATCAGTGTTGGCCATCTATCAATTGCTAATCTTTTAGTCATTGTTCATGGTTGGTTTAGTGTATTTCTACTGGGCTGTGGCTCACCCTATATGGGAATATCATTTTCAGGTACAGGTAGCATGCCACCTCCAAGGTCATAGCTTGGGAGGCTAGAGGCGAGCGGATTGTTGTGGTTTTAGTCCCTTTTTGATGTATTACATGTTTATTCAAGGGCTTAATATGTAAATGAGTTAGTACTCTTTGTTGTAATACTTTTGTAATGAAACTCTGATAAATAGAAGAATGTGGTTATTTCATATGTCAATGAATGTCTTATTTGTTGGGTTTAAATGTTATTATTTTGAGGGCGTTACAGTTTGTGCTCTGTTTTATGTCTGTTGCAGCAGGGCAGTACCAAACATTAGTGGCCGGCCGACCTAATGTTATTATTTTGAGGGCGTTACAGAAATTCAGCCTACCATCGCATAGAGTCGACCATAGTATCAAAGAACTTATCATCTGTCAGCTTGGTAAGATATCACAGAATGATTTGGAAGTTGAAACTCCACAGGCTTATACCATTAAAAGAGGTGAGTGGACCCCTGGCAAACGTATTGCCGTTTGACACGTTGCTACAGACATTTGCCTTGAAAAACATGGAGTCGAACCAGAAAGTTCAAAGTCAGTCACAAAGAAAGTGAAAACAACCAAAATATTGTCATATTACATTATGCATCTTCTGCTTTTTTGTCCTACTTTACCTTTCTGTAACAACAGTGAAAATTTTAAGCAAGCTTATCCTGATGTGGATAAATTTTTTAAAGAAGCAGAGTCTAATGGAAAAGAACTTGCCGGTAGTTTAATGGAGAAGGATGACAAATGGGAGATCATGAGTAATTTATGGGTAGAGATATTGTGCTATGCTGCGAGCTGCTGCTCGGTGAATCACCATGTTCAAGAGCTTAGGCATGGTGGACAGTTTCCACTCATGTCTGGCTTCTACTTAAGCACTTGGGTGCAACATAAATGTTGGAGAAAAATGCATCTCAATAATTGAATGACAAAGAAGACATAGAGTCAGAATTAAAGGATATAGGACGTTGCTTCTGATACCTTTCAAGCCTTGAATAAGTGTCAAATTTCTGGGAGATTAGCTCATGCAAGTTTGAGTTAAACCATTTAGAAATTCTAGTTTCTTGTGTTTTGCAGATGTTGTTGTTTGATGTACTTTTGTTGTGTCCCCCAAAGCTTCTAGTGTTTGGCTTTGAGTTTTTTCTTGCTTTTAATTTCTGTGGTTTTGTTATGGTGTTAGTTTGCTTTAGTTGTAATGGCAAGGCTTCGCTTGGATTGTAGTTCTTTTTAGTACTGTTTCATATAATGAATTGATGGTTGCTTGATCCATGTAATAATTTTAAGGTTTCGTATGAGAGTTTGAATTGCTTGATCCATGTAACAATTTTGCAAACTTGTAATATATAATTCAATGGTTGTTTTTTAAGTTTATTTTCTTTTAGTAGCTACCAAATGGTGGAAATTTTCACACGTGTAAAAAATATATACTTAATATATAAAAGGGTATTTGAGTGATAATAAGATATGATATTAGGTTAGATAATTGATCATTATAGACATATGATTAATGAAATTATTTGGTGAGAGAACAATTATTGTTTTGAAGGATTATTTATTTATTCATTTCTACCCCACTACCACTATATCATTGTCGGACCATTTACTTTAAAAATTTTCCCAAAAAGTGGCAAGTAGTGGCTAATGCCAGCAACTGGTCGTGGTGGTGATATGAATAGATAGATAATTAAGTTGACAGATAGGTACATAAGGGCAAATAGGGAGATGATACGTGAATAGATAGATGATACTTAGAAAGATAGGTGAACAGTGGATAAATTGACTGATAGGTAAAGGTAATATAATATTTTTAATTTTTATGTTTTTAAAATTATAACCCCCATCTTCTGGTAAATTATTAGCAAGTGTTAATACTTGCACTTAATTCCCATTAAATCATATTAATTCATCGCTAAAAGTTGGTCTTATCATAATAGTCGCTAAAAAAGACTTTTTGTGATGATTTTTTAATTCGTCACTAAAAATATTTTTCTATGAATTTTTTTTAAACTATCGCTAAAATTTAGAATTAGTGAATTTTTTTGATGAATTTTTTAAATTGTCGCTGAAAACTGACAATTAGTAACTTTCGTAATCTATCTATCTATCCATCTATCTATCTATCTATATCTATATCTATCTATCTACCTATATATCTATCTATACTATATATTAAGCAAAATGGGATTTTTAACCCCTAGTCTTGGGGGAGCTCCAATCTCCCAATCTAAATTTTCTGATTTTTTGATTTAAAAAAAAAAAAACCTTAGCATTTATTAACTTCTCCCAACCCCAAGTCTTACCCTCATAATAACACTTTAATGCATTAAGAACAAATATAAAAAAAAAAATCTTTGAAATTCAACACATATGAATTTCTTAAAAAGTTCCAACACATATGATTATTATCCCTCATAATAACACTTTAATGCATTAAAAACAAGTATAAAAAATTTTTTGAAAAATCCAACACATATGATTATTATCAAAATATTAAACTTTAATATAATATAATAAAAAAAGAAGACATTTAATTCCTTAAAAATTCCAACACATATGATTACTATCAATATATTAAACTTTAATATAATATAAAAAAGGGAAAAAATAAGACATTTAAAAAAAAAAGACATTTAAAAATCGAAATTCACATATATAGATAATTGTAAATATATTAAGAAAAAGGGGGTTTCTAAACCTCCAGCTTTATGGGAGCTCCAGTCTCTCAATCTTAATTTTCTAAATTTTTGATTTAAAAAAAATAAAAAACCTCAGCATTTATTGATTTGGTCAAAATTCTCTGATTAGCATTTATTAACTTTTTCCAATCCACATTCTTGCATTTATTGATTTGGTCAAAATTCCTGATTAACATTTAAAATCCCCTCATATAAATAATTATAGATACAATCCGTGCATAGTTACTGCAGTAGCATTTTTAATTTCTCCTGTACACTATGGTTAGTGATAAGATTGTTAAATTATTTTTATAAAAAATCTTAAAAAACATAATTTATATATTAAAAAAATTAAAACAAATATAAATATCAATAATTATCCCGTGCATAGCACGGGTGATAGGCTAGTATCTATACTATATATTAAGCAAAAGGGGGTCTTTAACCTCAAGTCTTGTGAGAGCTCAAATCTTTCAATCTAAATTTCTTGATTTTTTGATTTAAAAAAAAAAAAAAACTTAGCATTTATTAATTTCTCCCAACCATATAATATTAAAAAAAAAGACATTTAATTCCTTGAAAAGTCTAACACATAGGATTATTATCAAAATATTAAACTTTAATATAATATAAAAAAGGAAAAAAAGAAGAAATCCCAACCCTCAAGTCTTACCCTCATAGTAACACTTTAATGCATTAAGAACAAGCATAAAAAAAATTCTTAAAAAGTCCAACACATATGATTATTATCAGGTTAATATGAATTCCCTGAAAAGTCCCAATACATATGATTATTATCCCTCATAATAATACTTTAATGCATTACGAACAAGCATAAAAAAAAAATTCCTTAAAAAATTCAACACATATGATTATTATCAAAATATTAAACTTTAATATAATATAAAAAAAGAAGGCATTTAATTCCTTGAAAGGTCCAACACATATGACTATTATCAAAATATTAAATTTTAATATAATATAAAAAATAAGACATTTAAAAAAAAAAAGACATTTAAAAATCACAATTCACATATCTATACTATCTATACTATATATTAAGCAAAAGGGGGTTTTTAACCCCAAGTCTTGTGA